TGTTATAATTGACATGGTCTTGAGTGGTGAGCAATGAGTAAATGCTGTGAGTGAGAGATGTCAGAATGGAGATATACAACCTGTGATGAAAGTGAATCGAGTGGAAAGTTGAAAAGTCAGGATTCGATCCCTGTCAGTGAGGTTAAGAGTATGTTCAAGGTGATTTATCCACAGGGTAGGATAGATATGGATGAATGTGATAGTGACGGGAGAGTGAGGGGGACTGTTCACAATGAGTTGTATGTCGCTAAGATGAGAAGAAGAGGAAGAAGGAAAGAGAAGAAGAGGTGTAGAAAAGCATGTGCGAGTGGGTTGAAGATCGACGTCATCATCATGTTGTTTTTTCAATAAACATCTCAACATCTCCACCCTTTACACTTTCCTCTTCCCATACGCTACTTACTCTATACCTTATACCTATCTAATGTCCCTTTAGTACTTTGTGAGAGGCAGCTGAGACCTGCCTTACGCTTTCCATCGTTTCCCTTCCTTCATAATCTCTCACCACAATGTCCTCGGCTACATCCCGGCCATCTAACAAGGAGGACGTTATGTCCGCCGACAAGGGCGAGAAGGGTTTTACCTCAAATAGTCCAACAAAAACTTCTTCTTCCCCCAAGAAGATGGACAAATTTCTCTCCAAGCTACCCCCATGGCTCTCCAGTTCTCTCAAAGATAGACGGAAATGGAAAAACTTCCTCCGGGCATGGATCGTATTTTTCAGTTGTGTGGTACTTCTCCTCGACCATCAAAGTACGTGTTTTCCTTATATACATACCACTGAAATCTCTGACTCCTAGCTTTGACCGTTATTGGACAAGCGGCATTCTTTCTTTTGATCGTATCAATCATGTTACCGCCCACATTTCCTGTCACCGTCTTCCTCTTCGCAGCGTTCACCATGGTTCTCGGTTTGTTGACAGGTTGGGCATGGGGATGTGCGGCTATGGCTGGTGCACTTCGTGCCAGGAGTCAGGCTCGTTTGGCATTACAGGAACATAATGTTGAGACTGGGTGAGTCTATCCGTCGATCCCTCCTCGTCCATCAGCTGATGACAGATTTGCGTCGGGTGCCAATCCCGATCTTGAGTGTGCGTCATATCATCTGCCGAAGTGAAGAAAAAGGTTGCTGATTACCTCAGTCCAAGCGGCAGTCTTCAGAGCTGAATTCCTCGACCCAGGGTCATCGGCTGTCTACGGAGCATTCCTTTTTGTGGGAGCATACATTTTTGGCCTTGTGAGAGCATTAAAACCCAAAATGTACGTGGGGAAAATATGACCAAAGGCCTCAATTAACAATACAGGATGCTAGGCGCAACATTCGCTACCATCATCGTAGATGGTCAGTAATTTCAGTCAGTACCACAACCCTAATGAACAGTCATGACATCTATGGGACCTCTGATTCCTCAAAAGAATTACACATTACCGGTCAGTCTGTCCATCCTGTCCCCGATTTTATCTGACCAAATAAGCAAATAATCCTCATTCCCGCTTCGATGTACGTGGCTATAGCTCTCGCAGCCTCTTTCCTTCTCTGGCCACAGACGGTCCATCATCTCTTCCTGGATGGGATGGTCAACGGTGTTCTACGGACCGCGTCCGCTAGCCTTGGTCTTCAGGATGCAGTCTTGTCAACGACCGATCCTGCCAAGTGGACTGAATTATCAACTAAAATGAGAGAGATCAGAGGGGCGAATGCCGCCGCTGTCAATGGTCTGGAAGGACAAGTGGGTATGCTCCAACTTGAAGTCAGCCGTGGGAGGCTTTCCCCAGGAGATCTTGGGGATATATTTGAGAGAGTCAAGAGGTTGTGCGTGAGATTGTACGGTTTGAACACTTTTGTGGTGAGTCCCAGTCACATCCTTGTATTCATCGAAACGAAGACGGTGTTGACCATTCTCAGTCTGTACTCGAGCGGCAAAGTAAGATCATGGAAGACTATCGACACGAATCTTCCACTGGGCGAACACGTTTGAAGAAAGTATTTGCCGATATGGAAGAAGCGGCTTTAAGCACGCCGCGCTTCGAAGTCCTCATGCCAATCCTACAAACTTGCTCTCAGCCATTATTATCCGCAGCAAAGACCAGCTTGGACGATTGCATTCAGTGGCTAGATGAGATCAATCATTCACGATGGAAAAGCAGTTTCAAGCATACCAAATCCACCAGCGAACGCGAGACGGATTTGTCTACTCTACAAACCGCCCTGGCAGAATTTAGACAAAGCAAACAATTCGAAGTGCTAGAACCTCTTCGAGACGCTTTCGACGTCAATGGGATTCTTAAAGCCGACACTGCAGCGAAATATGGTGCTTCCGCTCGAGATCTGTTCAGATGTTATGTCTTTACATCTGGTCTGACCGATGTTTGTCTTTGTCTGGAAGAGCTTCAACGGGTATTGTTGCAAAAAGAAAAAGCGACGCCAAAGCCTATCTTCCAATTTCCCACTGCGTTTTCCAAGATGCTTCTCCGCCTTGCCAATGAGAATGAAGGGCCGGTCAATCCTTTCGGAATTGGAGATAGACGCGATGACACAGGCGTGTCGAGCGATGCAAGTTCCAGTCAGGATACATTAGTGGATGGGGTGGGGCCCACGAAGAAGAAGAAGAGAAAAACGTATCGTACGTACTTGCTTGTCTTCTTGGTTTTCTGGCCCCTTGCTGATAACTCAGACAAAGATCCTGATGCGCGCGACCCTCGGAACCTCTTTCAGAGGTTTGGCAGAAGGTTGTTCCTCTTGTGGAAAGGCGTGACCTCCAATGCAGGTGTATTTGCTCTCAAATATGCGATTGTGTCGGTAGCTCTGTGGGTGCCAGCAGTGTGTCCGACAACCGCCAGATTTTAGTGAGTCACAAGGCCGGACATTCATGTACATGACTGACCACCAGTTATGAGAATCGGTTAGTCTCATTTCATATCGTCTGCCGACTCCAGCTAATGCCTTGCTAGAGGACTTTGGGCGTTGATTATGGTGAGATCAGTCCGCTCCACTGATGATTGTGCTGAACTTTTATAGTCTCAGACGGGTTTGGGGCTGTATGCCGGTGAACAGGTCTTTGCGTTCATCACCCGTATTGTGAGTTTTCTTGCCTTGACCTGGTAGCCTGAAGAGATTTGATTATCAGATTGGCACGGGTATCGGTCTGGTGTTTGGTATGCTAGCATGGTATATTGGTGCAGCTAAGGGCCCAGGGAATCCTTACGGTATAGCAGCCATAACGGTCAGTCCTCTCCCTTCCTCCTTCTTTACCGTTTCTTTCGATCTCTTAGCTGATATGAGCAGACAGTCTTGATGGGTCCTTTTCTGTACTTACGAATCATCGCCCCACTCCAATATCTAGGCTTTGCTCTTCTTACACCTGTCACGTTTGTGTTTGTCGTGGGATACTCATGGGTCGATGGACATACATTCCAAACTGCCAACCAAGGCGTAGGCGCGGGTTTGGCAGGTCGAAGAGCATTGCTCGTACTGGTCGGTGTGTTCAACTGTCTCTCATCACTCGATGGAGTGAAGCTGACATGGGAGGTTTCGCAGCGGCAATGATCATGATGTTACTGCCAAAACCTATCTCTGCAAAACTGCAAGTTCGTAGGAGTATGGCTCATAATATCGGTGATATCGGGGAGTTGTATGGCAAAATCGTGGATGGTTTCGAATTGGAGATGGAGGATAACGAGAAAGGTGAGGAGGTTATGTCGAAGGTGTTGACGAGGGTGGACCAGCATAGAGAGAGATTTTTAGCTATCGTGGTGAGTTTGACTTCGGATACGTCATCAACCACTTTCTCCTCCCGGCCATTCTCCGTGACTGTCAGTGTCTGTAATCCGACCATCTTTGTTCCTATTTGGGCTTCGTTTGCGTCAGCTCCTGCCATGCATCGATATTTAAAAGGAATGCTGACGTTACAGGCTAGGACACAGCTGCTTGCGCAGAGAATGGGTTTTGCCAAGTAAGTTGTCACGGCTCTCTCGAGATATACTTGCTGATATGACAGAATCGAGCCTGGCTTGGCGTGAGTGATGTCATTCGCTGACCTGAACTGTTGCTGATCATGCAGCGGACCGTGGCCAGAGAAAGAGTACAAAGCGCTTCTCGATGTCTGCGTTCGTCTGCTAGGGGCTTTAGGTGCTTTATCCGGGGCTTACAGGCGGATCAATCCGGTGTGGTGCAGAAGGTTCATCGAAAGATCTGATCTGACCGATCCGACTTTTGTCAGTTACATTCTCATCCTGTGTCCTATTTCATGTATATCACAGTCGCTATTGTTCCTCTGTTCGCCCACAATATGCGACCATCCGTGTAGCGGCAGGCTTTGACAGAAAAGTTGGTTGACAATCAGGTGGCAGACTCTCTCTCTCTTTTCGCCCTCCTCGACAGATCTCTCCGTCACGGTACACCTCTTCCACCTACCATGGCTATAATGGAGCGATTGGCATATCATCACATGCACAATGCGACATTACGATCTGCCCGTGTGCGCGCAATACCCAGTACAGAACCAGGTTTGGAACTCGCAGCGCAGGATTCATTGATGGTTCAACTGCGGGATATCTTCACTTGGGACATGTGTCATGTGAGTTCCGCCTTTGAACTCGTCTATGATTCAATCCATCAACTCCACAATCCTCTTTCATCTTCACTTTGAACTCGTCCACCTGTTCAAGTGCTTGGACGGATTTCATCTGCATGTCAATCATCTCGATTCATGTGACGATAAGCAGGCCGTGTAGCACACAAGCTAATGGCGGTGCTGATGAATAGGACGAACAATTCGGAGTGTTTGCCACTGCTGTTGTATCTCTCTTACACGTAACATATGAGTTGGATGACTTGTATCGGACAGTAGCAGAGTTGGTAGGGGAAAGAGAATTAGAGGGATTTGATAGAGCTCAGGAAAGATGGGCAATGTTGGACACTCAATCTTGAGGAGTATCTTGGTGGTATGTAACTTTTTGGGTTGATGCTACTGACAACCTCTGTTGATGCTACTGACAACCTCTGACTCGTCACTGGGATAAAACAAAATTCATTATTGTAGACAAAGAAAGAAAGCAGATGACACATACTCTCAAGACACAATCGGGGCATCCAACATGAGGAGTGTTAACGCTATTGCAGGTCTTCTGGACGCAAAGAACGTTTCGAACTTTCTCCCCTGGAATACCCCTGCTCCTCCAACGTCAACGCGGTAATCCTCTTAGTCACCTGTTCGATGTCCACTCCTTCCACCGCCGAAGCTCTGTTGGTTGTGGTGACCTTGTCAGATTTCGGATAGGTAGCATAAGCTGTAGTCGTGATTTGACGCCATAGATCTCTACCTCTTTTCCTGGGACCGACCCATTTACCCGCCGTCCACAGTCTTCTGTATATCAAATCCAACTCTGGATCTGCGAACACACGAATATATTCATTCAAATCGTTCCTCTGCTTCACCGTCAATGCAGTTCGAGTATCGTCTTCTCCTACTGTGTTGAGTATATATTTATTCACGGGGTGAGCGTTGAGCTCTTGACGGGCCCTAGTAGCGATGTTCATTTCACAATCAACCTCACTACATCTATGCGTCGAAAGATTATGCCTGTATCCTTTTTCGACCTCAAAGACAAGAGTTGAAATCACAAGAGAATTACATAAATTCAATTCCGGTTGGAGAGACTTCCACCGTTGTTTTTCTCCGTCATCTCTTGCATTCTTGATGAGCTTAGTGATGTCGGCGAGATTCTTTCTACAATGATCGTAAGTGCCATCGGCCAGGATAGAACGATAGCTCGAAAGATCGGATTTCGACTTGTCCTCGGTAGGAGTAGGAATAAGAGATTTTCTCTCTTCCTCGGCTAGTTCTTGATATTTGCACAACATCTCTTCGTCGGAATCTACTGTATTTTGAAGTTGGCTTTGACCGGTTCGAGTCAACTTTCGACGTTCTCTCTTTTTCTTGGCTTTGCTAATCCTTGAAGCTTCTGTCTGGGCGGTTGTATTGGTAGAACTCGTCAAAGTTGCTTTCTCAACGGTCGGTGAATTATTTTCAATTGATTCTGCTGAGTTTGTCTGATTTAGTTCATTTCCATCGTAGGAGTCAACGGACTCCTCCTGAGCCGTCGTCGATCCTTGGGTCTGTTGCAATTTGGCCCTTCGTTTAGCCTTCCTCCGTGATCGACCAAGACGTGGAGGTATCGTACTCTTCCCACTGGTCTTGGACTCTTTCGTCACATCCACTTGATGGTGAGTCTCTTCCTCTTCAACTGCAAACTCATTATAATGTTCTTCCTGAGTGGTTTCGAACACCTTTTCATCGTCCGGTACTTCCAAAGCAGTCTCAAGATCTTGTTGAATCACTTCCTCTCTACCCAACTCGGTATCATCTGAATCGGGATAAGGATCAGAATCAAATTCAAACTCTTCTTTCGTCTGCCAATTCTCTTCCTCGTAACTCCAATTTTCTTCCACTTGTTCTCTCAAATCTTCCTCATCTTGTCCCCTTTGTGCCTCTGCCTCTTCTTCCCTCCACTCATATTCCTGTGTGGATCCAACTGGAGATCTTTGAGGTTGAACATCAACAACAGTCGGAAATTGTTCCTCGAAGAATTTCGCAAATCGTGATGGTCGAGGTTTAGAAGGGGTGTGATTCCATCCTGTGAATAATGGAGTATGTCCAAAGTCTCTGAACGGGTGTGAAGGATCAAAGAATTGAGTTGAGAATGGTTGAGAATGAGGATCACGAGGGATAGATGCGAATGAGAAATTGGAAACGTCGGAGAGTTCACGATGAGACATCGTTCAATTCTTAATTATCACAATCTTGATGTCAATTACTTAGATGGACGTTTATACAAAGTGAAAAAATTCGTTTCTGTTTTATTCAAAATTGGAGGAAAGTGTTGGTGAGAGATAAGAGTGAAAAGATAAGATGGGAGATGAGGGGTATGAAGAAAATATGAGATATTTTATATGTGTGATACTGAAGATGACACATGTGAAACTCCTTTGATCCGTTGGCTTGAGACGTCGGAGTTGAAGTCGGAGTTTAAAAGGAAGTGTATGAAGATGTCTAGATATCACCTAATGTGTCAGAGAAAAAAAATATAGGACAAGTAAGAGAATGACAATAAAGGTAAGTTGCAAAGGTGTCGATGAGTAACGACATATGAAGTGTATTTCCATGAATCTGTCAGTGACATACAAGCTTACAGTATGAAAAAATTCCAAGTTCAAGATAACTCAAGCAAAACAGTGATGTTAAAATCTCTCTTTTTTCTTAGAAGAAACAAGCGTGAATCATACATATCATTATACTAACATTCCACATTGTGAAACCCCACTCAAAACAACATCTAACAATCATATCTCATCGCTAGTAATACTTTCCTCCTTCTGCGTGATCTCAGACCTTTGTGTTCGATATTCCATAGGTACTTCTACACCTCCTGAATCAGATTCTTCTCTATCCGTCTCTTCTTCCTCAAAGTCGAGTTTCGTCTCCGAATCATCTTTCTTTACAGTTGGCTCTTTCGTCTCCACCACACTTTCACTCGGTAGAATAACCCCACCTATATTCTCTTGATCTTGATTCGAAGAATTAACTCTATAGATAATCTCTTCAACTTCACTCGGTTGAATAACACCTTCCGTCTCTTTTACACTCTCACCCGAGAGAATGGTATTTGTGACTTTGGTAGAATCCGAAGGACCTACAAGATCATCTACCATCTCCTTAAACTTTTGTTGAAGACTACTTCGAGTTTTCTCTCGTGGTGTGTGAGTCTCGGGCTCACTGGAAATATAAGGATAGTCGAAGATAGCCTTTCCAAGCCAAGTGGTGGAAAACCCGTTGCCAGTGTTGGAGGTAGCAACTTTCAGTTTTGTGTCAGTGTTTGATATGAGTGACATTATGAGGTTTAGGTGGTTGCTTTAAAAAATGGGACTGATGTCAAGACAATCAGAGATGAGGAGATAAGATTGTACTTTGGGTAATGCGTAAGGACGAGACTTGTCCAGTTGAGGGATGATGAGTTAGAAGAGGATGAGAAAGTGAAGAATTGAAGAGGTGAAGAAGAAAACGTAAACGAGCAAGGTATGAGTATTTTTGTAAAAAGTACGGAAGTGAGTCGTCGGAGGATCGGGAGATGTGTATGACGTGTGACGTGTGACCTGTGACATGTGACATGTGAGATGTCACAAGTCAGTGAATAGGAGAGAAGTGTAAAAGGAAGTGTTCTTCTTAAAGGTGTCAACTCCATTCGTCCTTTTCTTCCCGCTCGGTCATTCGGGCCGTATAACCGATTAGTCATACAGATCAGTATGTCTATCAAAACGATATTGCATCTATATAAACCAATTACCATTGTACTGACCTGTGACCTGTCAAAACTCCAATCTTCAAGATAATAAACTCAAGCATCCGACTCGTGTTCAAAGTCGTAGTCGAAAGGGAATAACGACTTGATCACGAAGGGATAGCAGAGTAAACGGCCGGACCACCATTCTTACGTTTGGATATACTCTCTTCACCTTCAACAGTGGAAATACCACTGTGATGCGCTGGAGCTTTACGGTGATCACGTTTAACGACCATATGACTCCACCCGCTGTACATTAGCCTTCACATCTTGACAAGTGTACAATCACAACATTCTCTCCCGAGTATCATATGTTTGGCCAGTCACGGACAGGTCTCCCCGGGATAAGATTTTTGGTTAGTGGCGTGAGCTTTGATAGCCGTGAGTATCAAGCACGGGAGTTCTCAGGAGTCCCGATGAAGGAGAAGGAGGAGGAAGAAATCAGCGGACCGAGCAGGAAGATAGTAAACTCACCGTTCGAACTGAAGAGCAGGCGAAATGGCCGCCCCAAGCTCCTGAGCCGCTTTCAGAGGGAAATCAATATCCCTCAAAACTTGTCTAGCGAACAAGACGACATCAGCTTGGTTGTTCTCCAAGATCTCCTCGGCTTGTTCGGGTTCGGTGATGATTCCCACTGCGCCGACGAGGATGTTTTTGACGTTTTTCTTGATATGCTCGGCGAATGGGAGTTCTGAGAGTCAGCATTGAATTCCCTGAGTATTTGATTTCTATGACTATAGGAGTCATATATTCGTTTCAACTTTCTTTTCGTGATCCACTTGAATGAGGGGATCAGTGCAACCTCGCACAAGATAATTTGATCACATATAAAGAAGCGAATAGAAGTGGGTGAGTAAGTAGGTATGTATGAAAAGACGAAATTGTATACAATACTCACGGTAAGAAGGTCCGACTGCTATTTTACCCCTCAAATCATTCCCACCACTGGAAACGTCGATCAAATCAACACCCGCATCCGCAAGTTTCTGAGTGAACAAAGTAGTCTGATCAAGACCCCTAAATCATCAACCCAATTTCTTAGATGTGCGGAATTCAAAGAGAGATAGATACACACCACCACTTGTATTCTTCCGTCTCACCCGGATAAGCCTTCTCAGGACCCTCAGCGTCCTCCAACCAATCACTAGCGCTCACACGGTAGAACAATGGTTTGTCCCACACCGCACGCAAGGTCTGTGCCACTTCGAGTGGGAAACGAATACGGTTCTCGAATGAACCTCCATATTGGTCGGTACGACGGTTGGACCCGGGCGAGCAAAATTCTGATCACGTCAGTCATGTTGAGAGGAGTATGGATGAAACTGACCATGGAGGAAATAACCTGGACAATGTCAGCTTCTATAGCAAGTCGTGTCGGACGAGATGAGACGTAAATGAAATGGAAAACTCACCGTGAGCTCCATGAATCTCAATAAAGTCAAACCCGATGATCTTGCATCTAAACATTAGCCGTGCACATACAAGATGATGACTTAAAAACGAAGCTCTGACAAGTATGCAAGACCTGATCAAGGTAGACAGATTTCTGGGGAGAAGAAGTGAGTTAGATCGGGGAAGTGAAACCGTTGACATACCTCTCTGCCGCTTTCACGTACGCGTCCTTCAAGTTGGTGAGGTATTCGACGCTAGCTTCCACAGGATCGGGGTATTTGCCTGGGTTAAAGCTGATAGCGGAAGGAGCGACGACTATGAAGTTAGCCTCAGTCGGAATCGTTACAGTCATCGACTATCCTACGTCATAAAGCTCATCCCTTACCGGCTTGCACGAGGATCGGAGACGATCGATAGATGTACAGAAGAGCGTTGAAGAGAATAAGTAGGGATTAGACAGGGAAACGATTCAAGGAAGGCATTGAGCTACAATACTCGTACTCACCTTCCGAAGGCCATCCACCAGTCTGTTCAGGTACGACATCTCCACCTTTCCAACCATCATCTCTCATAATCCTCAAAGTTCCACCAGGCATAGTACTACCTTTCCTACCAGAATGAGCTAATTGTATCCCGATAATCCCCTTATTGGCATGAACGAAATCTACGATTCTTTTCAAAGGTGCTATTTGAGAATCTTGCCAAATACCAGAATCACTAGGTGAGATTCTACCTTCAGCAACTACAGCAGTAGCTTCTACCATTATACTTCCCCATCCTCTCAGAGCCATAGAACCAAGATGGACTAGATGGAAATCTGTTGCATGACCGGTATTATCGGATGAATCTATTTGTTAGCGATCAACAAGTTCCGAATTTTCCGGAATAGCTTCTACATGGGTATATACGTATGTGATATGTACTCGTATTCCCTTTGAAAATCGAAGATCATTGATGCTGAAAGAAAACGAGTGATGAGTGATTCAGTTATAGACGGATAGTCATGATTGAGAAGAGTTGAAACATGATGAGAATGAGGGAGAAAACGGGCGGAGGAGAAAATACAGGTGGGGTGGAAGGGTCGATTGCAAGATAACTCACAAACACACATAGGTGCTACCCAAGCTCTATTGTGAAAAGTCACACCACGGATAGTAAGAGGTTCGAACAATTTTGGAGGTTCTGCATTCTGAGGGAACTTTTCAGCAGATAAAAGTGAACCGATAGGTTGAAGTTGTTCAGGTAAAAAAGTATGATAACCTTTTGCTGACCTGATGGGATAAGGACTGAATTGAGAGGAAGTACCGTTGGTGATGGTCATTCTGATCAAGTACGTCTATGTTCTACAATATGTTCTATAAAGATTAGAGAAAGACGATGAGAAGGCAAGGTAGCAGATTAAGATATATATATACGTGTGTATTTGTATCGATGGCGAGATGGGGAAGATTGCAAGTCTGACAAAGCTGGGGGGGATCAACCTCCACCCAGTCAACCTCCACTTTTCGGTGCCTGACCTTCAATTCCCTTACATATCATCTCGATGCATCCTCCTTTCAAAGACAGAGTCCTCAACAATCAATGGTATGTAAGACGAGTAAGCTAAAGTACATACAACATTCAAAAGAAAAGAAATCATTACAGTCATTCCAACCCATTCATCGAGTCATCCACTTCCATCAACAGCTTTGAGCAATTCTTCCACCTCTAAACCACCCTCTTCAAACATCCCATCGATCGAATCGTAGCTCTTGTCTCCAGCAGGTTCATCTTCCCCGACGTCCACGTTTGCATTATGTAATTTACTCGATAACTGTCTACCCGACGTTCTCTGCTCTTGCACGGGATGTATGGACTTGTTTGCGGACACACGGGTGGAGAGGCAGGGACGGAGGGGAGAGCCACGTGCCGGTATGGAAGATATGGCCTGGGCTGCTGCCGTTCGACGAGGTGAAGATCGGAGAGGTTGTTGAGTGGGAAGAGGTGATTTGAATGGTTTCGTCATGAGATTATGTTGTTTTGTATCAAGATGAGTTCGAGTGAGACCGACCCGAGGTGCACCGTTCTTGATGGGGGAAAGGGGTGTGCGAGATATTGATATGGACTTGGTGGACATCTTTACTTCCTTATTCGGGACAGGAAGAGGAGGCGGATTTGTCACAGTTTGGGTTGTCTTATTCGATGAAAGGGGTATCCTCGATCCTGTCGTATGACGAATATTTGGTCGATTCTCTCGATCCAGATCCATTGACAAAGTCGTCCCCAGTGATGAAGATTTCTTCGCACTGCGTCGTGGAGTCGTCCGAGTGGCGATCCTGTGTGATGCATTGGAAGAAGGTTGTAAAGCAAACTTCGCCATCGCTTCTCCTAACAAAGCGTCCAATCGTTCCTGCGCTTCTTTGACACTTTCTTGCGTTGGTACTTCCACACTGCCTGGCAGACTTCCTCCGACGGATGGAGTATGAGGGGCTCGAAGAGCGGGAAGGGATCGATGTGCCCTACAGGGTCTCTTTCGAGGTTTAGCGGATGATAGTGATGGGGTTGATTTGGAAGATGAAGATAACAGAGAGGAAATGGGACGTGGTTTTTGTGTGGGAGTAGGGAGTGGCGGGATGTCTAAATGTCAACTTGACTGATCATACTGTCTCTCTGCCCCTTCGACCTCTCATCACCTCCATCGTCGATGAGATAAACAAAACTGTTTGATGTTAAGTGAGAGACGAGGGACGTACCATCCTCAGTAGCTAGCAAGACCGCTTTTCTCAATCTTTGATCATGAGACCAAGCCACCCTGCCATCTTCTTGAGAAGAAGTACTATCACCTAAACGTCTTTTCCTCCTAGATCGAATATCAGGAGTTTCCATATTGTTTGAATGACAAGTTTCATCGCCTTTTCACTTGCTTCTCATTGGGGATCAGGCTTTGGAGAGCATTGCAAATAGAGAGATGTGAAAACCAGAAGGCAGATAGGGGTTGAAGGAACAGAAAGACAGTCGCGGTGAAGTAGGGGGAGAATATGACGTGGGAGTGGCACAGAGTGATAAGAATACTTCCGTGCTTTGGCCGGGGCAAGTAACCTCAAAGGTGTGTCTATGTCTGTGTCTCTTCTATTCTCCTCACTACTCTCCCATCGTAACCTGTTTCTTCCCTCTGTCACAGTAATACTGTCCATCGCGAGATCTTTTAGTCTCTCAGTTACTACAATTCATCGTTGAGCGTGATCTGTACGCAATAGGGAGATTTTGCCACACCATAACATAATGTCCCTCATACATGCTCTCATAGCGAGGGGCACCACAGTTCTCGTTGAACATTCCACAGGTTCAGAGCTCAAACCAGGTTAGCTTTGTTGATATGAAAATAGTTCAGGAGCTGACGATCAGCTGCTCAGATCACTATTCTATCAAAGATACCACCTAATAATTCAAAGTTGACTTGTGAGTCTCCACTCCTGTCCCACGACCTTTCTCGGTGCCACATGCTTCGTTCGTACTTGAGATCAGTGTGCATATTTCCACATACGAAGATAGGATGTAGAGGGCGAAGATGCGGGAAGATTACTTTGGAGTGACATAGGTTGTCGATCGGAACGGATGAAGATGTGGACGGTTGGTCGGACGGTTGAAGGGGAAGTGTAAAGTGGAGAACTGATATTTCAGACGTTTGGCAAGATCGATTGATTCATTATGTCGCTTCTGATGGAATAATATATCTGGTCATGGCAGATGACTCTGTAGGAAGAAGAATGCCATTTGCTTTTTTAGCGGATTTGGAACGAAGAGTGAGTTTCCTCTCAATCCTATTCATTTCCCTTCCCACGCGCCACCTCATCCTGTCCGCTCACATGATCAGTATCGGAAGGTGCTTCTTTTACTCAATATAAGAGATGGACAAGGGCTTCTGACACATTGGCACATGCTCAGGACTTTGACACTTGTCCTGCATGTGCCAAGTAGTGGCGTCAAATAAAACAAGCGCACGAGAGGGATATAGGACTTTGCAAGGAAGCTTTATCAAGGTCATGCGCAATGATCAGATACTGATAATTCAGTTTACAGCCCAACATTCATCAGATGAGATTGTCTCCGCAGCGGCACATTCAATGGGAGACTTTGAAACTGAACTCGGTCGAGTATGTCTCTTTGCACCACGGAGCAGCAGGAGACTGATGTATAGTTGATGGACCGATATACGACTTCACCACCTGCTGATCCTCTTCGTCAAGCTCAGACGGATTTGAACAACGTGTCAGTTGTCTCTTCTATAACCATACTCCCCCCTCTCTCATCCTCTCTGTGATCATTTGCTTTATCATCTTAGGTACGCGTTCGCAAACGTGCTTGGTCCTGTCCTGCCGCTATTATCTCCTTTACATTACACGTGCTCGACCATACCCCATCCACCCTGAGGGAAATCCTATCGATGTTTCCCACCATTACCAAAGGAGAGAAGAGATGATATTCTCACCCCGATCGAATCCCGGAATCACTTATCTATGCACATTCCTCTGACCCTCAGAAAAGACATCATGGTCCAAAACATTGATTCAGTCCTCCAACGTGGCGAGCGTCTCGATCTTCTCGTGGACAAAACGGATACCCTCGCAGGTCAAGCTTACGCATTCCGTCGAGGAGCAAGGAACGTTAGACGACAACAATGGTGGCGTAACATACGTATCATGGCACTTTCAGGAGTTGTAGGTATCTTAGTGCTCTACTTATTCATCGCTCAATTTTGCGGGGCTGGATTGTCTCATTGTCGTAGCTAATTTATGATCGTTAAACATTTGTTGTAATGTATGGATTGCTGTATGCATTTCTTCCTTCAACCACCTTTCTTATCGCTCCTCCCTCCATATGATCATGACACAGAAGTGATTGTGTAAACTTATAATTCTGCCAAAACACCCATGGCTAAACTTTGAGTCACTTGATCACCCATGGTCTTCTCGACGGCTTCTGCTAAATGACGCTTTGGGTCGAGTTTACCTACATGTCGCGTTTTGAGTTGTTCAGGAGTGAGGGTAGCTTCTTCTTGTAGAGATTTGGTGTAAGCTTGAGCGAGGGAGAGCATTTTCTGATCATGAGCATTTTACATGGTTGAGATTCATACGTGAAGTATGGTCGTCAGAGTGCACGGGGAGTAATCAAAGGGCAATAAAGGGGGGAGGGGAGCGAAGGGGGCGGGGGGAAGAAAGTCGACTGACTTTGATGGCTTTCTCATCATCATGTCTTTTCTCGTCGAAATCACGCATTCGAAGTCCCTCGGTCCATGTACGTTTATGAAGGTTAAGTAGCATACCCTGTTCAGCCTCTGTTTTTCTATAATCTATAGCCAAGCCTGAAAAATCAGCGTCGTTTCGACCCAAAACCTCATCATTCGCTTTTCTCTGCCATACACATTGAATGACTGAGAGTGATGTATTCGGCGCATCAAAGCGAGAAAGGGGCGTATCAACGAAATACGGAATATGACAGTCTGATTGATTTTTGTGGAATAAGATATGTGAAGGGACAGGTCGATTGATGAATAAAAAGAAGATTTAGTGAATAAAACTCACTGTAATAATGTCGATTCAGACCATGTATCAAAGCTTGTATACTAGGTTTATTCAAATGTCCAACGTTGGAAGTAGTCTGTCTTGATTCTTGACCCTCCATAACGGATTTAGGGTTGATGGATCGGAATGCGTCGATGACTACTTTACCTCGGACTGATTGGATGGGATCGATGACTACTGCTACTGCACGGGGATGGAGTTGTTCGAATGACTATTCGGGTAAGTGGAAATCCTCATGTGGCGTCGTCACCAAATGAATACCGCTTGACAGGTCAAGACAGGGGTCGTGGAAGTCCAATATGGAAGAAGTAAAAAAAAAGGAGTTTTTGATGAGAATTGAGAGATAATGTACAAAAAGTAGATAAGAGTGAGATCGCAGAAAAAGAGAAAGACTGACTTGTTGGGTGTTGATATCTACACTAGAGAGCCAACAACCGAACCCAGGATGAGAGTGATACCATCCAACTACCATTTCCGGTCTGACCTATCAGCTCACCTCTGGACAACATTAAATCTCTCCTATGTCATGCATTCGTCTATCCCTAGAAGGTTTCCTGTCCTCTTCCCACCCAATGTCCCCATTAGGTGCCTACTCAATTCTCGTGGAATGCGAAATAGACGAAGAACAAGGAACGTCAAAAAGTGCTATAAAGGTATGATGGGATGCAAAGCGATCACTCCCACCCACCTTCCTGTCTGTTTTAACATATCCAACATCTTCGTTTGAAATACATGATCAACCGATTCGACAGTTACCGTCGTTCCCGATTGCGGCATGGCAAATACGTCCACACATGAAATCTTCTCATCAGCTTTTTCTTCCTCTTTTCGTATTAGTACTCACAGTGTACTCATCTACGAATTCTCCCAACATGAGACCCATAACTTCCATCGGGACACCTGCTCGACCATGTTTCAGCATCTGTGTATCAGCCAGGATCTGGATATCATAGCTGAGATATTCACCTTCAAAAGAGCAAGGGAGGAAATGTGGACTGTTTCGCCACTGTGATATCAGCTTTTTCCAAACGCACACCAAGAACTGAAACCTTTCTTAGGAAAAATCGAGTGAGACCAGGAGAGGAGGAAAGAGTAGACTCACTTATCCGCCAAGGCGACCTCTCTTGAAGCACCACCACCACCACCACCGAGCATCTGACTGAGGAGGTTGTCCATTGTCTTCGAGGGACAATCGAGTTCCACACAGAGTTTTCAGTGAGACTCTTTCGAATTATCCGGTATTCAGAGTAGCACCTGGGTGTTCAGAGTCGCTACTAGCTGCTCTGCTGGTATATGAGGAGATACTATAAGCAGTAGGTTAAGATCTGGGAGGAATGGATCAGAGAGACGCGCGATCGTCAATTGATAGGCGCGTCTAAACTAGTATAGCGAGCCTCCCGCGCGCCTAGAGGTCGTTTCGTCGCCCGTTGGTTACGTAATTGACTGGCCCTCGTTTGTCGGCTCTGTGATCTGTGATCAGTCGCTCAATCCGTCAGTAAGTAAGTACGAGTAGAGTACATATACAAAGACGACCTCGTCTCTCGTCCTTTCATCTCATGCCTTCTTCTCACAAACATCGCCTTTACCATCTCCACCTTCTCAGCGATCTTCATCTCTCCGCTCGTCTGAACCTCGATCTTCCCAGTACTCCTATTTTCACCTAAGCGGAGACCGTAACGACGGTCATTTGACGTCTAGTCCGGCTCCCCCGCAATCATGTCCGATGTGAGTGGTTCGATTCAATGTTTGTCGTTTCCAGAGCACGTTGTCTAATTGATCAGTTCCAAAAAGCTAGATTGAGGGCTTTGGAATTACAAAAGCAGAAAGATGTTGCCTTGTTGAAAGAGAGAGAAGCAAAAGCTCAAAGGGAGAAGCAATTGGCACAAGAGGCGGAGGAGGTGAGTTGATAGTAGTGTTTTCTCAGCCTTCGACTATCCTGAGTACATCATATCATGTCTCACTGTAGCCTACTTGGTAGCGTGATTATCTACTCCCGTGGTTGGGGATATAGAAAGAGATAACGGTGACGGTGACATACATTGTTGACTATTCAGAAACGTCGCCGCGTAGAAGCTTTACAGAAAGAAGCACGTCGATTAGAATTGATCAATGCCCACGAGGCATTGAAAGCTAAACAAAGTCGACCATGGGGTACACCTACACCTGTTTCAGCACCAGTCATGACTAAACAAGATGATTATGATCCTTTTGCAGAAGATGTTTTTATCCCTTCCAAATCTGCCGCAGCTTTCAAAGTGAGTCCATTCAACCTCGCCCTGGTCCGATCAACAAATCTACGATCAAGACCCCTCTTTACCCCTCGATCCGGACCAAGAAGCTTTTTCCCACTCATCATCAATGATTTCATATGCCAGTCAGTCATACTGACGAACAGGCATCCATTCATTCCAAACCTAAATCATCCACCACGAAACTTCCCTCCCGCTTGAAATCCGAATCAGGTCCTCAACCCCGAACAAAATCATCGAAAGCTTCCAAGGAACAGTTTGACGAATTATCTCTCAGTCGAAAAGAACGAGCCGCCCGAGCTTTCTTGATAAAAGCCAAGCGATCTACAGGAGATAGCATACGTGCTCTTGTGGACGGCATGGATTCTTCAGGAAATTCCATTCATAAACCTATTCCTACTACTTCATCCTCACGACCCAAACCTTTACCAACAACAACGAAGAAAACCGAGATTGATGGTTTACAGAAATTATGTGCAGATCGAGAAATACGAGATCGACGTACTGTTGATGAAATTCATCGAGATATAAAAGCTCGTAAAACTGGATCGTCAAGTGGTGCGACGATGGAAACTAGTCGTTCACGAACAGAATCTAGAAGTGTATCACCTGTGAAAACTAAATCTAAAATCATAATACCTTCAACTTCGAAAAGTAATCTTTCTCCAACCATATCAAAGAACACTTCGAGTTTAGGAAATTTGAATCGTCAAAGTCAAAATGATGGTGAGATGAAAAAAGCTTCTTCTCGAAGTATCTCTCCACCTAAAACTAAATTGAGAATTCCTATTCCTACATCCGCACGACCTCTTTCACCGGATTTGAAGCCGATCAAACGACAACGTTCTTCAGCTGCCGATTCAGAGACGAGCGAATCGGATTCGGAAGACGAGGAAGAAGATTCTGGGAAACGTCGTCGTATTTCCAATCATTCACCAAAAGGTATACAATTACCCTCACGGGATGTCATATCTTCGGAGATCCAGGCAATCTTCAGAAGACCAGGAAGAACTCCAAAACCAGTATATGAGGACGAAGATAGTGGGAGTGATATGGAAGCTGGGTTTGAAGATTTGGAGAGGGAAGAGAGAAGAGCTGCTAGGATTGCCAGGTTGGAGGATGAACAGGAAGAGAGGAAAGAGAGGGAGAGGAGAGAAGCGAAGTTGAGAGTTAAGAGGGAGAGGGAGAGAGTATGAGACTGTAAGATTGGTCGGGTTGATCAATTTAATGACCTTCCCGAGTGTCTTGGCGAAGAGGAAGTGGAAGTGGAAGTCGATGTTGCATATTTGTTTGTTTGTATTGTTGTAAATACTTAGATTCGAGTCTAATAGTATCCTACCGTTGTGACTGCTCTTGCATAGTTCATGTAGATTTATTTCATTTCACCGTATGTAACACTAAAGGTTGTTTGCTTACCTCGCAATGATGTTTGTCCCCATTCTGTGCTCTTCAGATATTTTGTGTAGATCACACACGGCAAAAATGATAGTACTACATATAACACACTTTCACACAATTGTAGCTCATTCACATGAATTGTCCAAGATGTCACAAATCCTAACGAACACGACTATCAACCATCCCAACTCATTTATCCACTGTTAAACGGTTCAAACTCCAAAGTCTGTCCAATATCACAAACCACAAAACAACCTTTTTCATCCCATTTCGTCCCCAAACCAGCCGAACGTCTCACACGACCAAATTCAACCCTTGTACCTCTCGCTTCGTCCGAATCGCAGAACGTCCCCCAATGTATACCCAACCCACGTTCAGCGCCAAGGATCCGATGGATGGAAATTGCATCTGCGGGGGAACAATGTAATGCTGAAGTGAGTGTATATTGATCTAATGAGAGTGATAGAAGAGTACGAAGAAAAGGAAGTGATGATCCTGTAGATATCGGTAAACATGATAATGAGAATGGGGAATAGAGAGAAGCGATTTGAGTAAAGGCGGGACAGATTGAGAGTGGGTCCTGGGTTGGTGATGTTGCGTATCTATATCCTGTATCGCTATTTCTCAGCGGGGATCGGAATTTGATGACAATGGCAGTAAGATTCCTGAATTGATAGTACGATATGAAGTGTGTATAACGTTATGACAGTGTTTTGTAAGAAGATAGACTATGAAATAAACTGTGTGCGAGTTCAAGGCAAGGAAGAATTTGGTGGAAGTGTCTCATTAATTATTAAATGAGTAAAGAGGGTCAGAAAGTGTGTGTGACAAAGCACTTTACGGATATACTTGGACCAGGTTGAGGTCGTTTTTCGGTGGTGATGGTGCAGGGAGGAGTTGGACGTATGACTCACCCTCCAAAAAACATTTTAAACCCTTGCCATACGTTCATCCCTCGTTCCTGGGCTCGTCCAACATCAGAAGGAGATACTACCCCTACCACCCAGCTTCCCCACAGTGTTGTCATGTGATCCAGCACACCCCGACCACTGCGATGTTGTGCAGGTGTGAAGGCCACTTTCAGCATCAAACCATCACTACTGTCGGAAGAAGGGGATGTTGAACTTGGGGGAAAAGAAAGAAGAGCTTCATGCCACCAATCAAACTCTGTGATCCGGTCGGAGGGGATAGAACAGGATTCGAACCATTTCTTCAGACCTGATGGATGGTCAGCACATTCAACGCCTGACTCTGTCACATGACAAATCTCATGCAATTGAGATGGGATTACTGGAAATTCTTGACGGTTGAGAAGCACAGGGATATATACAAGAGTCAAGAATGATTTACCGTATGGCACAAAGAAATGAATTGTAACAGCATGGTACTTCCATAAATCTAGTATCGTGTAATGATCTAGATGATCATCTTCTCATCAGCTGACAACGTCCGTCGAAGAGGAAACAGCTCACAATGATCATGAGAAATGAAACATGCGTGTATCTCTGGAAGTTCAGATACCGAACATGGTGGATCGAGATGTCTAGCTGGACCGACGTATTGCGATGGGGAACATCTTTTGTCAGCTCGTCATGTATCAGGTTTACTCCTAGCCTCCTTCAGACTGACATGTCCATTTCTTGACAGAGACGTAGTTGATGTCGCTGCTGAGGTGTTCGAATCTTGATAGATGGCCGCATCACTTCGTTTACGAAACAATTGACAGACAAGAGGGATGAGTTAAGAAAGAAAGAAAGACTCACCTGTATGAAAAAATTGGATCAAATAATAACCCACACATTCCCTCCTTACTCTTGTCCTCCCATGGTATCCTCGCTAACACACTAGCATGTCCTAACCACGTCACCGTCTCTTTTTCCGTTTTCTCCCACTTGGGTGCGACCACAGTTACAGGAGGATCTCTCCAATCATCTTCTTCATCTTCATCCCTAATCTCTGAGAAAGATGGTCTGACGTACACTCTCGATTTAACACGTCTGATCTTGGGTATTTCTTCCACGTCTGCTTCCACCTCCAGCAAGGCCTCTTCGTCATCATGATTCGATGCACCTGATGAAATCCTCTTCGGAGGGATACTATGCGTTTGAGCATAGGCTATGGCAGCACCTTTTTGATACGCCAACCAAGCATCGTTGAGTGATGCGGATCGATATGATGGCCAGGGGTTTTGAAAGTATCGGGGTTTGGAAGTGTCGAGGGAAATGTAAGAGGTGTATGAGGAAGAAGCGGGTGGACCGTGATGATCTTTTGAAAGATCTATTGGTGGATCTAGTAGGGTAACTGTGGGAGCTGAAGTGACCATGTTGGCTGAAGCTTGTCAGTAAGAAGAAATAGAAGTGGAAAGAGGAGGAGGGAAAGATTGATCACGACGTCATTGGATGTCCATTCAGGCACCACCACCACCACCACGAACTTCATTCACTAAAGCTATTCAATAAAACTGTACATGCATCTCGACTGTCAAAATTCGCACTGCTCACTACCACAGGAATACGATAGACTTTAGACTACACTAGCCAGTATCTGCATAATTATAGAAGGAGAGGGAGGAGATCAGATCGAGGCAAAGGAAGAAAGTTTGTGTAAGGTTCCCATCACCTCGACTGCGACCGAACTCTCCTTCTATCTCTCTCTCTCTCTACGACACTCACATCAATATGCCATCCCGACCAGGAGTCACATTCGAGTCCGAGCTACGACTTCGACAGCGTCCCTCTTCCCCTCCTTCCCCTCTTCACAATACTAGTAAACAGGCCAGAAGTTATCCTCCGACAAGCGAAGATTTCCTCGAATTCCTCAACTGGCTAATCCGTATCGCTCTTTCACCGTGAGTTCTTAAATCTGTGACTGTGATCACAGCTGACAGCTGAGTATCACGGTCCCACTTGAACTCATACACCAAGCACTCACTTCTCGCTTCACTGTGGGTTTAGCCCTAAGGCTCATCTTACTTGGTGTCTTGGTGTTAGGCTCCGGAGCTTTCTCCGTCATGTCAGTCGGAGCGTTTTGGTGGGTATGGTCATCCGGAGGGACTGTGGAGACTGAAGGGTGGTTGATATATGGGTAAGTTCTCACTTTCTTTACTCTGCACGTCATCGATGTTCCATATTCGCACGGATGAATGCTAAATAGCAGATCGACAACACATAGATTACCTCACGCTTTGATCAACCTTCCAATGGACAAGTTCGAAGTGGATTTGAGGTATGATGTTCAAGTTGAGATGGAACTTGTTCGTCCTTCTCATATGACTCAAGAAAGTAGTTAGTCTATTGTCCCCCCATTACCCCTCTCGGATCGATGACTTTGAAAGACTGATGATCAGATAATTTCATGATAAACCTGGAATTACGATCCGAAAAGTCCCCAGAGAATGTGGTCATTGCTGCTTCTCGTCCTGTAAGTTCATACGTCTCACATTGAGCCTGCTGACTAGAAGTCTCTCCCTCCTCCCCCTACCGCCGCAAGCTTGCTTCACCTCCCTCCCCTCCCTACTCATCTCTTGCCACCATGCGTCATTCCATGGCCTTTACGTGGTTTGTGTCCTTCCCGTTTGTTCGGCTATGCCGACCCACCACCTTCGTCCGCGGTACGACGACTCCACTCTGATCCCGCGAGCGTTGGAGCCCCTGTACCTCTGAAAAAGGTCCTGATGGAGGGTGTCATGATCCGACCTAGTCTGGGAGGCGAGACTTCTCTCGGTTCGGCATACATCAGCATCGGTCAGTATCCATCTTCCCGGCCCCTCTTCCCCCTCTTTGCCGCATAGATACCTATCAAAGTATACTGGAGTGATTATCAGACACGGCGGCTCACGTACAGGTCGAGAAGATCATTTTACAGAAGACTCAAAATCATATCAGCCTAAAGAAGTCCGTACAACCGGCTGGGTCATCGTCCGATTCATTCCCCGTCCTACAGGTATACGATATCTTCTTGCGTCTCACCCACTTCCTCCTTTGCTACTCCTCCCACCTGTTGCCCTAGGAATGACCCTCGCCTCGTCAATCATGTGGTTTATTGTCATTACCTGTATCGCTCGGTTCAGACGACGGTCGAAGGGCGAAGACGATACACGGGTGTCATCCCCGACGGGACAGAGCGAAGCGGAGTTGTTGGCTGAGCGTCAAGCGAAGATCTTTGATGAACGCGATAAAGCTGAAAAGAAAGAGGCGGAGAGGAGGAAAGCGGAATGGGAAGAGGTGGAAAGTCGGGCGAGTGGGAGTAGGATACCTGCGGAGAGAAAGAGGACAGTGCCTTCTACTGTGCTTGGAGGGGTGAGTCATCCAGACTTCTTTCCTCCGTCGCTAAGATATCCTCTGATCGTTCCTCATCGGGATTGCCCTAGGTCATCCGTGTTCAATCTGGCTTATCTTTGCTTGTTGGCCAGAGGCCTTCAATCTGTGGTTGGATCATATCATCTTATGACTTGTTTTGATTGATTATCTCAAGCTGACCTTTACAGTCAGAGACGACAGCACCCACAACGGTGTCATTCGGCCCCACCCTACCTCCCATGTCGGAGAGCGAAAGTCCCCCAACGAGCAGTTCAGAAGATACGGATGCCATCATTCGTGCTAAACTTGCCAGCATCCCCAGACCGGAAGATATGGATTCCCTCTGGGAGATGTATGATTGATCGGGAGTCAGATCGATCAGAGTTACATCGTAAAGGGGTTTGGATAGGTTGTAGCATAGCACATGCATAGGTCACAACTTTTCTTAGACTATACAGCACAAAACCATCCCTCGGTTTCACTGATACCCTGCAGAGACGTTTTCCGAATAACAATTTTCCTCAAACCATCTTTAGTCATTCTTACCCCGTCTCTTCCTCCCTTATCCTCCTAGTCGAGCTTAAGGGATTGCACTTCGTTCGACATGTATTCGTACAACATAATACACTCGCACTCCGTCAAACCCAGCAATCCCTCTCAGCTTGGTTATTGCATGGTCTTCATAGAATTGTGGCGGCTTCGTGTGTTCGTGGGGGACCGATATACAAATTCGTTTTATCGATGAAGAGAGATCGGAGATGAAAAGTGAATGTTTGGATCATGAATCGAAGAAATATGAAGATCATGGGATGGTCTTTAGGAAGTATTTAGAGTTGACAACGTATCCGCTGATCATACCAAAGATGGTATCGCCTATAGCAAAGTATCGCTGGAAGAAAGTTCTGATGGAAGGATCTTGAATACCGAGTAGATTTGGTCTATCATTAGTCCTTCTTCTTGTTCACCCACCCATTTATGACTCGTCTGTCCTCAATCAAAGACCAGTAGAATCAATGTCAAATACTCAATTTCAAAGACTGGCAGTCTTTCCGGAAGATTAAAGACGGAAAGAGGGATAGATCAACAGGTAAGCTTGATGGAAGATGGGTGAGAAAGAAAGGAAGGATCAATTTTACTCACGCAAACCCAGTGGAACGTTTCACGCCTGCCAGAATGGTGGATATGGCCAGTAAGTCAATGGCTAATCGTGTGAGTCGATTGAACATCTCCGCGGTATCACCGAATGCGAATAGTTGAAGATGAGTGGAAGTAACTTAGTGATGTTTGTTGTGAGAATGGAGTGAGGGAGAGGACGGAAGTCATGTGGCACCTCTCGATTTGTGGCATTTTACCTCGACCGTCGTTACGGTTTGGGAACAGGGAATATCCCGTGCGCGCCGTACAAACACTAAAGTGACAATGACAATGATGCATTCATCCCTTCTTATCTCCTCAAACGTATAACAAGGTGGGTACCAGTAATTGACGAGTCGTTTGGACACCTCATGTATCACTGGTATCACATGTCCCGGCGGTCAGTTGCTTCTGGGTCTCATAAGCTTCCCAACCATCAACTTCTCTTATGAGACTATCTCGAATCTCCTGCCGGACCATCCTGGGATCAAGCGATTGGACAAGGCTCCTCCACCCTTCCAATCTTCTTGTCCATTCTTCCGGCAACAATTCTTCCCGGGGGGCAAAAATGACTGAACTCAACTTCTCCCGTTGGTCACTGACATAATCTGCCAAGGGGGTCTCTATGCGGAGGTTAATCCAAAAAAACGCAAGATGATATATGCACATTGAGAGCTGGACATTCCAAATAGATAGCTGTAGTCCCTCGTCCTGTGAACGTGTGGATGATGTAGACACGGCCGATCCATGGTTGGTCTCGAGGCGTCGACCCGTCGGTGCGGGTAGGAAAATGGGAGGAGCGCTCATGATGACTGAAGCGGTCAAGTGTGAAGTCAGGGTTCAAGATCAAATGAGGAGCATTTACGTGATTCATTCTCTACTAGAAGAATCTACCATTGATGAAACTCCGGATAAAGGGAGGGGTTCGGGACTGATAGGATGCTGTGGTTTCCACTTTGGGTTGATTTGCTATGTCTTCTGGTTATACGCGGCCGAGATTGATGTTGTTGGCAATGTTATCAGGTCTGTTGCTCTCCTACAGAGGAGCGGTGGAGCCGATCTTCTCCATTTCTCGGGTTTCCACGAAAGCAAGAGAAGGACATTGTCAACTTCATCCGTCTCACCTAGGCATGATTTTTCCGGTTCTTTCACAACTACATTTCACAGCTCTAGATGGCTCCCGGGCTCAGGGTCATGTTTCATTCAAAGTCGGACCTCCCATTATGCTGCTCGGTTTCGTCCTGGACGGCTCTCCAGGTCGATCTGGAGCGGTGAACGGAGAGGCAGGCCATGGATTTAAGGGGCAACGACATCTCACCCGACTGACTGGTAATTCACATGAATGCATGGGGAACGCATGAAGAAGCTCAAGCTGATCAAGGCAGAAGATTATTGTACACAGGTTCGTATTAGACGGGCTGGAGAGATGTAATTATACAGGAGAGGGAGGAGGGGGTTGACAGAGGGATCACACAATATTGTACTACACATGTGTATTCCATGAATGATACTCGATACTGCCTTGGAAGTCAAGGTATGATGTGCTATACTGCCACTGCACTCTGAAACATGTTGACTGACTGCTGTCGGGTAGGGGTCAAATACAGCTCAATCAGGTGGGCACCCTCATCAAGCAGAGCGGTACGGAAATGTGGGTTTAAGCTACTCCTCTCCAAGTAGCAGGCCCAGTCTGTCGCTCGCTCGATAAAGTTGTCAGGGTCGTTTTTTGCCAGATTAAGCGAGGGAAATCCACTGGCGGTGAGTGCTTTAGTCAAATAGTGGTTCAGAATGTGGGGTACGGTGTTTTGAGTCTGAATCCCCGAGTACCTCTTTTGATTGCTGCTACAGCGATGAGTACTTCACGATTGGCAGAGAAGTCTGGTTCAAGCACAGGCCAATCGGGGAATCGGATACTGTTGTCCGTATCACTTTTTGAATTCATGTCGCCAGATTCAGATGGCTCTCCATCCTCTTTGGAGCTTCCGTCGGTGAGATCAAACACAGTAAGGATCACATAGGTCTCATTAGTTGAATTGGGTCCAGTATAGTTGACATTGACACTTAGTCTGACAGGCGTGTAAGGCAGACGGGTGAGTCTGGCCGGTACGACGCCTTTGTCATCATTGTGAGTAGGTATCATAGATGTTCCCTGACGTCCTTCTTCAAGCAGGGTCAAATTGTTGCCATTGTGGCTTCGAAAAGACAAACAAGATGCTAAGCCAACCCCAGCTAAGCCAATACCGGCTGCAACAACTGCAAGGGGGTTCAGAGATGATATCACGGAGAGAGCCATGGTGGATGTGTTGGGTACGGCGTTATGATGAAATAAGATCCGATGGGAGAGAAGAGATGAAGTGGGAAGCTTGTATTACTCTCTATATAACTAAGAAGGGGTTCATCAAAGGGTGAGAATCAAGCAGGAGATGTGAAAAAGTCATATCATCATCCATTCAGATAACATGAATGGATGCGTGGAAAGATGGGTAAATATTAGCAAATCAATTGGGCCCCACACCTCATCATCATTCTCATTCAATCCCCGGGTGATGATAAGGGATCGTAGACGCCAATACTTGCCACCGCGATGGTCATGCTCTCCGGGTAAGATTCATACTTAGGTGTGACTGTGGAGATGTCAATCAATTTTCACCTGCTCAAATGAGAGAAACGGGTAGCATGTCAACGGCTAATCGTGTGCTAATCATGTGAGACAATTGGACATATCTTCAGAGTAAAGGAGAATGAGTGGAAGTAATGGAAGTGTGAGCGGAGAGAGTGGAGCCAGCTAAGAGAAAGAGGACACAAGCAATGTGTCACCTCTTTAAATGCGGCATCTCACCATTTCAGGCTCGGGTGTCTTTCCGTGTGATGACAAGTATCAGTGAGTCCTGATACCACCAATCACTGCAATGTGCAAGAAGGTAGGAATAATCCGCTGTGAGGGGAGTTTACTGTACACAGATATCTTCTGGTCATGTCACCACTCAATGCTGCATTCCGAGACTGGTGAATCACATCATATGAAACCACCATCACTACCAACGATCTCTTAGCTGTCTTTGATCACGATGTATGTTGTGTGTTGACCCGGTGCCAGTTATTCAGGAAGCTGTTCAGGCGGCAAGGAAGTGGCTGGTTTGACCAGCGACTCTCCTTTTGCTGTTACATAGGAGATGACAGGTATCACCCAAGGGTATGTCTCACTGGAAAGAGTCTGCAGGTGAGCTGCAAGGGCCATATAAGGAAATCTGTCCTCTGAAACACTGAACACTGTCTCTTTCCCTGTACTGGAAGCTTGAGGATCAACTGTTGTATCTGTTCCTCTAGCTTTGCATTTTTCCACCTCTTCAGGAAAAGTGTCAAAAGCTCGTTGAACAGAGAGGTAAATGGAATCCATGGTGATAACCGGATCTTTGAAAGGAGCCTCGGGCGGTCTGGTCATCCAATAGCTGAGAAACGGCAGGCCCCCGGTCTTTATCTGTTCCATCCTTGCTATTGTTGGGTCACTAGCCTGGATTTCGCCACTGGCCCTGGGCTTGTCAGGAGCTGTATCAACACCTTGTTCAAAAAGGTATATGAGATGATCAGCTGTTGTCCTAACAAGAAGCTGACTCAGAGAGTCGGGTTTGATGGGGTATTCAATGGGTCTGTAAGTCAGCTTTTATACACTGATTTGGCTAGTACAAAGGTCTGGAGAGACCTACACATATTGGGGGTCTGAAATCATACCATCTTCCACGAAGAGGTCTTTGCGCACAATACGTTTCGTCTTCCTGCACAATACTGCCACAAAGTCACGTGACATTTTGGCTTATCAGTGACAAAATAATACCACGTGTACCACGCGCGGCCCCTCCTTCCACTTCTCTCCTCACTCGTCAAAATGATGATGTTTACGATAAAAAGTTTTTCTTCAAAAATCGCAATGCATTTCTTTTAATGAACAATGTAGGACTATAGAACTAACCTCTCTCTATCAGCTTGTGAAGAGTTTACATCAAAAGCAGAAAAACTCACTGAGATAGTTGATCTTCTCTTCCATCCCTCTGTCCACCAGTTGAAACCGGTTCAGGACTGATCACCTGGCCTATACTCGCGAGGGGGTAATCCCTGTCTCATACCGCCGTTCCTGGCGTCCAAATGAGTCCTTTCCGCGCAGTTTGAGCCATTTTCGAGTCCTTCCTGCACATACAGCGGTGGATGAATCGGTGGATAAAAGCTAGGTGAAAAGTTTGAGTAATTTGGTACAGGAGGGTATGTAGGTGGCCTCTGGTACCAATTAGAAGGCCCAGGAACCCCTGGTATGAAGTGGGGAGAAGGGTGGAAGGGAAAGGAGGAGTACTGAGTCGTTATCTGGTCACATCAGCCTGGAACTCTCATAGACCAACCAGGAGAAGTGGTATGAGATATTTCAATGAAATGCGTACTGGTGGAAGTGTCCTGGCCATCTCAGAGGCTGTCCTTGCCATCTCCACTGGCCTCATTGTCATCACAGAGCCTGCAGTCACTGTCCTTTCCCTTGAATTCTGATATTCTGCTTCGATCCTAGCTCGCAGTACTTGTTCTCTCGCGGCCACTGCTTTTTTAGCCCCACACATGTAGTTACTAGCATGTCTTTTCATACACAGGTCACACTTGGGCTGCTGAGGACGTGTAGGAGCAGATTGTTCGGCTTGAGAGAGGATTCTACCAGTGGAAGCTCGAGCAGGGCCAAGATTCGCAGGAATTGAACTTCGGGGACGTTTTGCTGGTGGTGTAAGAGACGAAGGTGGCCTATGTAGTGTGTACATTGGTGTAGCTCGAACCACACTAATTCCTGAGGCTGAAGAAGCAGATTGAGAAGGAGGAAGTTGTGATGCAGAGGCTCGAAGTGCTTGTCGTGCACGAAGCCCAAGATTTACAGGAGGATCCAAGACAAACCTATCTGCAGACGAATTCCTGGCCTCGAATTCTTCTTCAAGTTGATACACACCAGTTGCTGAAAAAGCTGTCGCTCGACTTCGATTATTCGTGTCTTCAAGAAGCTTTTCAAATCCACCGTGTGGTAGTAGTCGCCAGTGATGATGTATCTTGTCTATCGTGAGAACCCCATCATGCTTGATGATGTCTACTAGTTTATGGGCACATGGTAGGCCCATTGAGTCATGAAATCGTCCCGAACAGTGATGAGCAGTATTCGATTGTTCAAGAAGTTTGCTAGCAAGTCGAATTTGCTTTTCCAGCTCACTAGCAGCAGATCTTGAGATATCTCTTCGAATAATACTGAGAACTCTGTCCCCGAGAGCATTTCGCATTCTTTGCTGACCATCTTCTAAAGTAATCGAGTCCCACTGCTTTTCAAGAAATCGACGGGTTCGAATGATCACATTCCAAAGTGTCCCTGTATGAGTTTCAAGGAAGTCTTTGAATGCTCGATGTTCACCCTCATTGCGAGAAGTAGTATGCTGTCGAAAATTGCGATTCTTATTGGTAAAAGCATAACACCATTTCCCTTGTGATTCAAGAAGTCGTTCGAGGTACGAAATGACTGGCCGATGTACAGGTAAACAGTACTTCTCTCGCATTTTGTCCATCCCCTGCTGAAGTGTAAATTCGTCTTTTGCTTTTACCACTTCTCTCATCCACATATCACCAAACTCTGATCTTGCTTTGACAGGATCATTTTCCCCTGCGAAGCAGTCCGACTTATTACATGCGTGTTTGACGTTTTCTCGTAGGTGCCATGTGCAGAATTGTTGTTTTACATTGGGGAGGTGTTTTCGAAGGGCATTAGCCAAGGCGACCTCTCTGTCAGTTATGACGACTTGAATTTGACGATGTAGAGGTCCCATCAGATCCAAAAACGCTTTGAGAGCAATGTCATACCAATCGGTCGTCTCTCGATCGATGAAAGCAATTGCTGCAGTAAAAGTGAGGTTTGTTGCTGATGAACCAGTGATATGAAGCATAGGTCGATTATAACGAGTTGTTTTATACGTGCAGTCCATCATGAGGACAGTGGGGTACTGATGTAGCAAAGCTCGAGCTTTTTCAGTCGTGTAAACCACTCCTAATGTTTCATTATGACGGTTTACTAGTCCCTTGAAGAGTTCCTTTTCTTTTTCAAGCAGTAAAAACAAGCTTTCAGTCACACTTCGTCCCTCCTGACGATTTCTCTCATACCTCCATTTGAAATTTTTAACATCTGCGGGAGTGAGGAGGGGTTTATCGGGATGTTCTTTGAGTAAATCAATCATTTGATGAGGTTTCAAACCTTGATCAATGTATTTCTCCAGTAGTTTTTCAATGGCTGGGGTTCGAGAAGTCCTGCGAAGGTGTGACAGCAATAAATTCTTGATTGGTGGGTGGTTATGAGTATTACAGATGGTAGTGAGAAGGACAGGACGAAATCCATCTGCGAAGGAATCTTCTTTACGAACTCTGGATAGCTTGAGTTGATAAGGACAGTCTGTTCGCTGGGTATGTGGCTGATGTTTACGATTTTTTTCATATTGAGAAGTACGACCAGTTCGATATTCCCCACTGCAGACGCATTTTAGAACCATGTATTGAAGTTTTTGATTGCTTGAGCTAGTAACAAGTGCGAAACCCTCTTCTTTAGCAATAACAGCGAGTTTATCACGTGCAGAATTGACAGATGTTTGTGGGGGAAGGTGTAGAGGTTCATGAGATAGATCGTTCACTTTTTCATGTGGACCGAATTCATCTTCTTCGAAATCCTCTGGTGTCTCTTCTTCACTGTCCAGTGAACGATCTTCTGACTGAACAAGGGGATCTTGGGTGAGAATTGAATATTCTGAGTGTTCTTGATCTTCTGTTGCTGTTCTGATGTCTCTGAGAGGGGTAGGAGAGGGAAGAGACGACTGGACTGGCTGGGTTTCGGGTATTAGGATGTCTGACTCTGGTGACTCGCTAGGCTCATGTTTGAGAGGAGGGAGAGATGGTGGGAGGACTATGACAAGGTCTTCTTCGCTAGAAGTATCGTCTATTTCAATAGGTTGAGAGGCAGACATGATTTGGATGAGAAATGATTGGATAATGAACTGTAAACATTAGCTACGACATGGGGGGGGGGGCACGTACCAAGTGGCCGGTGAGCAGAATGCAGGTTTGTATAAGATGTATCCTAATATGTTTTTTAGGGTGAATTTGTGTGCTGGATTCAATTCTGGTGTCGGTTTGGTCTTATCTGACGTCCTGTGGGCAGGAGAGTGAAATGATTGTCAGGTTTGATGTTAGAAGTTGAATAAAGTGAATTTGAGACGCGGTAGAACTGTCACGAACTAGTACACGTGGTATTATTTTGTCACTGATAAGCCAAAATGTCACGTGACTTTGTGGCAGTATTGTGCAGGAAGACGAAACGTATTGTGCGCAAAGACCTCTTCTCTTCCACTCTGAAGGCAATCATATCACGTGCCAATCCCAATGGATTTCTAATCTCAGTTGGGGACTGTGGTTGGGAATCTGATCAATCATTCACCTGAGCGTTAAACGGGTTGGACTGTACAACAGCACTCACTAGATTCTCAGAAGAGTTACACCCTTCGTGTTTGCTTCCCACCCAAATCGATTGTGAACCATCAGAAGGAGCTGGCAAGTGGTTTCTCGACTCCATCTGAAAAGGTGAAATGGGTTGTTAATTCAATGGTGTGTGTATGAGTGGAGGGGGTGGGGAGTAAAAGAAAAGGGTTTATATAAGCTGATAGGGCTGTGGGAAGTTTGATCACCCACATTCTAACTCAGCCTACTTGTCATCATCAGAAGGAATGGCAAAAAAAGAGATACAATTACGTCATGGGAACGTGTGAATCATGACCTCAGATTGCTCCTTCAACCTCTGCCTTCCCCTTCACTTTTACCCTTTCCCCATAGTAATCTCTCCTCTTATTCCCTCCCTCAATGTCCATTGCAGAAGAACATTGTCTTTGGGATGAGATCATTGTCCACATAATGTCGCCAGCAGAATGTTGTGGCAAAACTTTGGTCGGCATTGCGGACACGGATCATTTAAGATACAGTACTGCCTTTGGATATGGAATGACCGGTCGGATCTTCCGCTTGGTAAACGGGTTGTTTTACAACATCACGTCAGTCCCAGGAGCGATGCTTGAGGAGTCCAAACCACAGGCGCAGCAGCTACAGGGAGGTGGACTGACACTAACAACATGAGTTCATCGGGCAATGCGTCTCCGGTGGATTATTTACTTCTTGTGCCCCCTCCCTCTGACATGCCATCTGTGCTATGTACATGGGACAATTGGCGCCATCAAAGCTGATCATCTTAGACCATAGATGCCCAAGGCGATGCACAATCTACATGCCAGCTGCATGTCCTGGAACTGTCAGTGTAGAAGCAGAAGAGTGTAGAAGTAGAAAGGAGAGGTAAGGACTAAAATGACACTTGTTCTGGGTGAAAAGACTGGAATAACACCAAGGACTAGAATGACAGGAGTCAAATTACATGATTCTTCATCCCTATCCACAAATTTTGAGACTTGATCCTTTCAAGATATTTTCAACCCCACAGGGATACTAGAAAGTGTCAATTTCATTGTGCAGTGACCAAAATTTCCTAAATGATGTCATTCTAGTCCTTCAATATTATTGTAGGGTGTGATGTCAATTTAGTCTTTTCACACGGAAAAGTCGTCATTCTAGTCCTTACCTCTAAAAAGGACACACCTTCATTTGGCCTCCATTACTCACAACATCCCTTCACATTGGGCCAGAACCCTATTGTCAACACCAGAACAAAGGTTGAAGGGTCTGCGTCAAGGGCGATAATGTCACAAAGCGTGTGACAAGTTGAGCAAAAGTTGGGGAAGAGTATTTAACCAGAGATTGGCGGTAGAATTAACCGCCAATTAAGAGGCCTTTTGGTCACAGTGGTTTTAGATGTCCTAAACACTGTCATATTGGGCACTGTAATACCAAGCCAATGCTGGTGTCACGAACTACGTCGTAACATCCTGACAACCACCATCACCGACCCTCCTTTCACCATCACCGACCTTCCTTTCACCACCACCAACCTCCACTCGAACCACTGAGACCAACTACGGCGAAGTTACGAGAACCAAGAGGGGATTTGTCACGATAACCCCGCCTAGCGGAGAACTACGGTGAAGTTAGGGGAAGGGAACCGAGGGAGAGCAGAACAGGGGAAGTTAGGCGAAGTTAGTCAAAGTGAGCGGAGAAGGATATCGGGGATATGGCGAGGTACGGCGAAGTTGAACGAAGAGGACTGAGCGTGAGGCAGTGCAGGAGTTGAGGGACGTTCTATGAGAAGAGAGGAGTAGTATAGATAGTTTACAGATCGCTGAACTTCTTCAGCGATCCTTGATTGTTGTCAGTAGCGAGAGATATATTCAGTAGCTACAACCTTCGAGTTAAGGAGAGCTACCACCGAGCAGTTCAACGTACTACGGCAAAGTTAGCCGCAGTTCATCGACGATCATCTTATCATTTACCACTCGACGTATCACTACGGCGAAGTTAGCCGTAGTTCCTCGACGAGTACCCTGTCTTAGTGAGACATCGACGCCCCACTACGACGTAGTTAGCCGAGGTTTGTCGACCGTCGGTCAGTAGAGAAGAAGAAACGACGATTGTGACAGCTGGCTAGTTGATCCCCGTGACAGAGAGGAGAGTAGATAGATTACAGATTGCTGAACTTCTTCAGCAATACTTGATTGTTGTCAGTAGCGAGAGATATGTTCAGTAGCTACCACCTTCGAGTTAAGGATAGCTACCATCTAGCAGGTCGACGTACCACGGCGAAGTTAGCCGCAGACGATCACCTTATTATTTACCACTCAATGTATTACTATGGCAAAGTTAGCCGTAGTTCCCCCAACAAGTACCATGTCCTAGTGAGACATTGACGCCCCACTACAACGTAGTTAGCCAAGGTTTGTCGACCGTCGGTCAGTAGAGGAGAAAAAACAACGACCGTGACACCTGCACGATAGTGCTTCCTTTTCCCAAGTGATAGTCTGCGCTTCTTGAAAGCTGTCACGTTCCTGTGCTTGACAGATCTCTGACAATCAAAGACAGGTGGATGTCATGAATTACAAGTATCAGTTTCCGCATGTTTTAGTTCTGCTCTGATGCCTTTGAGGCAAGAGACCTGAACCTTTAGTTAAGCATGTTATCCTCAGTTACAATGCCTGTCATGGCATGAGACCCAAGACTTTAGTATAGTTAGATTTTAGGCAAACGCATGGTTTACGTCGTCATGCGTACTTCTGCTTGCAGTCAACAGCGTATTATACGCAGCACGGTGAGAACAGAGCACAGTCAGTTGCTGTAAGTTAGAAAACAGTAGGGAAGGCAAGGATTACAACGGTTTCCTACGCAGGACGACTCCACCTGGTAGAATGCCCAATTTATAGATATAAACCCCTCATAGTTTTACATAGTTCTTCTTTAGTTCTTGATCAAAAGTCATTTCCATTGCCACCCTTTTGGAGTCCAATCCATTCCAGTCCAGTCCAGTTAAAATTACAGTCCAACTCCTTCCTAGTCTTGTTAGACAAGCCAGAGACATTCCTTGGGTCACAGTCCCATTCCTTGTTGGACTCAGTCTTGTTATCTAAGTATATTCCTTGTCACTCCTAGTCCTTGTCCCCTTGTCACGACCCTGACACGAGAAGACACGAGGAGACACGAGGAGACACAAGGAGACACGAGGAGACACGAGGAGACACGAGGAGACACAAGGAGACACGAGGAGACACGAGGAGACACGAGGAGACACGAGGAGACACGAGGAGACACGAGGAGACACGAGGAGACACGAGGAGACACGAGGAGACACGAGGAGACACGAGGAGACACGAGGAGACACGAGAGGAGACGAGGAGACACGAGGAGACACGAGAGGAGACGAGAGGAGACGAGGAGACACGAGGGGAGACAACACTGGATGTGCATGAGATCCCCTTCAAAAAGTATAAATACTGGACCTATCTACTTTGTAGTTTCTTTTCTCCAAGGATCAAAATATTATTTGCCACTCACAAAAGACCTCTTCTTGACATATTACTTACATCCCAACACATCCCTCATTATCATTACCCCTGTCCACACCATCACACATACCCTTATTGTCATCTCGACCTGCCCGGATCCTTTGCAAGTCACTTTAGTCGTCCGACCACATCACAAGTCTGCGGACAACATACTAATCGTCGTTGTCCAAGCTAACTAAACAGTTGCAGTCCACCTGTCTTTGATCCATTGAGGTCTGTCAAGGACAGGACCGTGACACCCCTTGTCCTTTGTCCTCTGTCCCAGGGTGGGCAGTATCCTTGACAGGTGGACTGCAACTGTTCAGTCGGCTTGAACAATGACGGTTAGTATGTTGTTCGTGAACTTGTGGTGTGGTCAGACGGCTAAAGTGACTTGCGAAGGATCCGAGCAAGTCGAGATGACAACAAGAGTGTGTGATATGACATGGACAGGGGTTTTGTCGATGGAAAGTGTGTTAAAGATGAGTATATGTCAAGAAGAGAGATCTTTGTGAAGTGGCAAATAATATTTTGATCCTTGAGGAAAAGAAAACTACAAAGTAGATACATGCTCCTTTTATACCTTTCAGAGGGAATCAGAATGAGCTTTTCAATGAGTCGACTTGTTGGCTCATTCTTGTCTCGTCTCTCCTTTTCCCCTCTAACCTCATTATCTCATTGCGTCTCAATGAGTCTCAATTAGTCTCAGTGAGTATCAAGGAGTCTCAACGAGTATCAATGAGTCTCAATGAGTATCAATGAATTTTCAGGGTACCTCACTGAGTCTGTCATAACCCTCAAATATCTGTAAATACCACGTGCATATCATCCACTCAAGTCCAGTCAACTTTACTCAGATCGTCTCAACTCGTTCCATCGTACAACATGTGGATCACCATTCAACCTTAATCACCCTCCCATCACTGAGTCAACCTGATCTGACATTGTATACATCAATCACATCATCTGTCGTCATCTGTCGTCATCCCAAGCTCCGGCCGACATGTACCATGTTCCGTGTCCTTGGTTCCGCTCAGACCGGACGAACTGATAAGCGAGGGTACCTGGGGAGCAATATTAGCCGGATGGCCGTTCGGCATCTATTTCTGTATATGAGCCCGTCCCAATCAACAAACAACAGAATCATCAATGATAGATAATTAGCCATCAATTCCTTAATTACTAATTAGTGCCTTAATTAGCCATCAATTACGGGTACCTCAAATAGTGATCAATCACGGGTACCTTAATTAGCGATCAATTGTGGGTACCTTAATTAGCGATCAATTGTGGGTACCTTAATTAGCGATCACGCAACTGCCTGTCATGAATCACAAGTATCAGTTTCCGCATGTTTTAGTTCTGCTCTGATGCCTTTGAGGCAAGAGACCTGAACCTTTAGTTAGTTATGTTATTCTCAGTTACAATGCCTGTCATGGCATGAGACCCAAGACTTTAGTATAGTTAGATTTTAGGCGAACGTATGGTTTACATCGTCATGCGTACTTCTGCGTGCAGTCAACAGCGCATTATACGCAGCACGGCGAGAACAGGGCGCAGTCAGTTGCTGTTAGTTAGAAAACAGTAGGGAAGGCAAGGATTGCGACGGTTTGCTATGCAGGACGACTCCACCTGGTAGAACACCTGTTTTATAGATATAAACCCCTCATAGTTTTACATACTTCTTCTATAGTTCTTGATCAAAAGTCATTTCCATTGCCACCCTTTCTTTGAGTCCAGTCCAGCCCAGTTACAATTACAGTCCAAGTCCTTCCTAGTCTTGTTAGCTTGTTGGACTCAGTCTTGTTATCTAAGTATATTCCTTGTCACTCCTAGTCCTTGTCCCCTTGTCCTTTGTCCTCTGTCCCAGGGTGGGCAGTTGTAATGATCCTGCTTGTGAGGATCACCACAAATAAATAAATGTAACCTACCCGTAGGGCTGGATACTGAACCGGAACTCTGTGATGTGGGTAATACTAGTCAGCAATGATCAAAGGTCAGTAGGTGTAAGGAAAGAGTGTGTCAAGGAAACCAAAGAGGGTCTGAGAGAGGATGGAGGAAAAGGTGAGAAGGAGGAAGAAGAAGAAGAAGTGAGAATGAAGAAGAGGATGGGGAATCTCTCTCTCAGGCCCTGCTTATATGCATATCAGTGTGTCTCAAACTCGATACGAGGCCAAATCGTCCTCGATTCGAGTAAAGGAGAAACTATGTAAGAGAAGGAGGAAAAACTACGTATGAGAACGGAAAAACTACGTATGAGAACGGAAAAACTATGTATGAGAACGGAGAATGTATCCACGAATACGTGGTCCAAGTATGAAGGAGAACGAAGGAAATAGTGAAGGTGTCACGCCTGCGGGTAGACTGCGGTAGCAAAGGACTGCCTTGGGAACTGAGGGGTTTATGTCACGAACTACGTCGTGACACCTCGATTACTCCACCAACAATGACCCTCCTTTGGCCATCAAAACCCCATCACGCCTTAACCTCTTTACTCTACACGTAACTCAGGACTTCTGACACCAAGTACGGCGAAGTTAGACGGAGTTAGGCTGAGTAGGGACAATGGGAGCAGAAGTGCGGCGATGTTAGGCTAAGTAGGGACAATGGGAGCAGAAGTGCGGCGATGTTAGGCGGAGTTAGGCTAAGTAGGGACAATGGGAGCAGAAGTGCGGCGATGTTAGGCGGAGTTAGTCGAAGGAGGAAGAGGATGGCCGAGGGCTCGGGGAAGTTGGACGAAGTGCGTTGAAGTACGTCAAAGCGCGAGAGGGTTGGATGAACGTCTAGGAGGAGTAGATAATATTAGCTGAGAAGATCGCTGAAGTTCTTCAGCGATCCTTGATTGTTGTCAGTAGTAAAAGACAAATAGAGATAGCTATACATCGAGATACATCGCCATCAATAGAACAAAGCCTTAGTTAGAGTAACTACGCCGAAGTACGCCGTAGTTACACTCCTTTCGACGTCTGCGCCCTCCTGGTTGGGTGAGACATCGACTCAGAAGTGTGAAGTTAGCCGAGGTTCGTCGACCGTCGGTCTATAAGGAAGAAGTTGCTCGACGGCCGTGACAGTAATCTGTCACGAGACCAACTAACCAGCATTGGGACGATATAACAGTGCCCTTCAGAGGCAGCGGTCTAAACCACTGTGCTAAAAGGCCTATTAACCGGCGGTTACTGCATACCGCCGGTCGCTGGTTAAATACCCAACCCATCCTATCACTATCACTATCAAACTGTCTTGTCACTTCGTGACATTATGCCTTCCCTTTCAGCCCCATCTGGGGCCCCAACAGGGAAGGGTACGATAGGCCGAAAACTTTCTCCGAGAGGGAGGTTTTCCAAGTAGGGACTGAATTTGACCCAGCCCACCCTGGGAGTCGAACCCAGGATCCTACCCGTAACCGCCGGTTAATCTGTCACGAGACCAACTAACCAGCATTGGGACGATATAACAGTGCCCTTCAGAGGCAGCGGTCTAAACCACTGTGCTAAAAGGCCTATTAACCGGCGGTTACTGCATACCGCCGGTCGCTGGTTAAATACCCAACCCATCCTATCACTATCACTATCAAACTGTCTTGTCACTTCGTGACAGTTTAGTCTCTGGCTCGTGGACCTTGGTGACTGCCTTAGGTACTGAGGGTTCGGGAGGTTGGGTTAGAACCAACTGAGTGACTTATCAAACGAGGGGAAGGGAATTGAAAAGATACATTGCTGAAGAAGAAAACTACAGTACTAGATAGGGTTTAAATACTAAAATCAGCCTTTTCCAAAAGGCTCGTGCAGACCTGCGGAATACGAGCGCTCTGAACCGTTCTGCACTGTCCTGCATGCATTGCCATGCATCCCACCGATTACCACTGATATCCTACGATGCCATATCTGCGTTTACCTACGTCCTACTATGATATCCTATGTGATGCGCCGGAAGTCGGTGACTTTGTCGAAGGTGGTCGATGAGGAACCATGAGGAACTATGCAGAACACAGAAAGGCTGCGAGAACAAGAGACTGAGAGATTATGCCTTACAAGGCATCAGAACAGAGGAAAGAGAAACTAGAGAAGTACTTGGGGCTTATGCCTGTCAGGCATGAGAGCACAGGAAAGATAGTCTCTGGGTTGATGCCTGATAGGCTTGAGAGCAGAGGAAAGATAGACTTGGAGTTTACGCCTGATAGGCTTGAGAGCAGAGGAAGATATGAGAGTGGAGGTTGAACTTGTGATTATGACAAGTCATTATTTGATAGTGTCATTCATGACAGAAGGACACATTGTGGTCTACAAAACATATGTGTGTATCATGAGTGAGAAACGGTAATGGACAGGATGAAAGGATAAGAGGAGAGGAGGGAGGATGATATAAGACAATATGAGTTGGGGGAATGGATCAAGGAAGAAGGAAGAGGTATGGAAGGAGAGCTATCATACTCTCTTTTGTAGGGGAGGCCTGATCCACTACAGCAGTATCCTTGACAGACGTCATAGGAGAGTACGTACGTCCGTCAACGGTAGTACAACTCCCTTGGTTACCAAATAACTGGTTCGCTGTCATACATCACCTACTTGCCACCTAAGATAGTCTTTTCCCGTGTTCCCACACTTGAAACACATCTGGAACACTTCCCCTGACCCCCTTTGGCTTAGGTTTATTGTTCTTGATCTCCATCAACCATCCCTATTGTCATCTCTTACACTCCCACACATGAAACACCTACCCCTGAACCCCTGTGCTCTTAATTATTGTTCCCCTTTGTGTTCACGTGCTTGACACACTTACCCCTGGACTCCTGTGTCCTCTGTCTATTGTTCCTTGTCGCACCCATGAACCTGTAACAGTTACCCCTGGACCCCTGGGTCCTTTGCCTATTGTTCTTAGTTTCACATGTCAGGAGTGCCAATTCTCTTGAAGAGAATTGCAAATATGTTTTGCAGTTCTTCCGTAGCTTATTGTTGTAGTTTTGCAGTTCAGCCTGTTTTGCTGTGGATATAAACCCCCTCCAAACAGGTTGTTCCCCACCTATGAATCTCATGTTGAATCTCATTCTCAACTTGTCAGTCCAGTCAGATCCAGCCTGACATCTTGCAGTTCTCTCAGTTCTCTCAGTACCCTCAGTCCCTTGTCACCCTCTGTATACTCCTCAAGCTCTACGAGCCAGAGACAAGTATTGGGTTACAGCCCCATCTCAGTCACCTTACCTATCCCTTGGGGATTAGACCCCGCCCGTGACATTCGCCGGATCAATCACAGGATCAATCACAGGATCAATCACAGGATCAATCACCGGGTCAACCACCGGGTCAACCACCGGGTCAACCACAGAATCAACCAGTCAACCGGTTGTCAGGATAGCCTTGTGAAAACACGTTTTTGAATATGGAAAACACGCTACTGATCAATACACACCCGCTACTGATGGAGAAATGTACGCCACTGATGAAGAGTACACACTAGTGATGAGGAGTACGCACTAATGGTCAGAGGTTTCATCCCTTTCAGCAGTGCGGACGACTCAACTGAGAGAACCAGAAGGAAAATCACTCTACTAAGCATATTTAGCCTCTATTTGAACCTCTTGAATCTCTACCGAACCCGCAGGACTGAACCAGGTATTTTTGAGTCAAAATCTGCATAATGTGGGCGCCTGAGAAACACCCTCTGAACCCCCTGAAAGATCAGAGCTCACCCAGGTAGCATAGGAGAGTTTCAGGTATTAAAGGATCACATTTCATGGATCCTTTATTCGTGTTTCTTTTCATGAATTCAATCTTTGATGAAGAGATCTCTTTTGGGGGCTTCCAGGATGATTCAGAGCCTTCTGTGAGGTCATTTAAAATGCTGTTTTTGATACAGGGTTTCCTCAGGGTTTCCCCGCAGGAAGTAGGAGAGGAGAGGAAGGAGTTTGAGGTTCAGTTTGGGGTGTTTTGTCTATAAATAGTGGTTCAAGCTCTCTGTTTGTTTCTCTGTCTCTCTGATCAATTGTCATCTTTGATTTCAACTCTCTACTCTAACTTACTGTTGCCTTTAAGACTGTTTGAGACACGCCATTGCGGCTTCATCATCATCAGTCGTATATTTGTGACAGAGTCTCTTTGAATTCAGGGTAACTCAATGAGTTTTGATGAGTCATGGTGGCACGACTTGTCCGATGTCAAGAACTACGTCGTGACACCTCGATTATTCCACCAACAATGACCCTCCTTTGGCCATCAAAACCCCCATCACGCCTTACCCTCTTTACTCTACACGTAACTCAGGACTTCTGAGACCAAGTACGGCGAAGTTAGACGGAGTTAGGCTAAGTAGGGACAATGGGAGCAGAAGTGCGGCGATGTTAGGCGGAGTTAGTCGAAGGAGGAAGAGGATGGCCGGGGACTCGGGGAAGTTGGACGAAGTGCGTTGAAGTACGTCAAAGCGCGAGAGGGTTGGATGAATGTCTAGGAGGAATAGATAATATTAGCTGAGAAGATCGCTGAAGTTCTTCAGCGATCCTTGATTGTTGTCAGTAGTGAAAGACAGATAGAGATAGCTATATACAAATCGAGATACATCGCCATCAGTAGAACAAAACCCCAGTTAGAGTAACTACGCCGAAGTACGCCGTAGTTACACTCCTTTCGACGTCTGCGCCCTCCCGGTTGGGTGAGACATCGATTCAGAAGCGTCAAGTTAGCCGAGGTTCGTCGACCGTCGGTCTGCCAGAAAGTAGTTGTTCGACGGCCGTGACATCCGAGTCGTGACAGATGGCGATGTATCTGTTACGGGGTAACAACGAATCGAGAGGACTCTATCGAGTTCGACGGATTAGGACGTAGGAAAGCGGGAGTTGGAGGCAGTGCTGCAGTAGGTAGGGACGGGTTTTCCCCTTTCGAGATTTCCCCACTGGGTTTGCTCAAAGCGGTTTTTCACCTGTCCGAGTATGTACGTACGTAGACGCTTGCAGCAGGAAGAGGACAAGGGCGAGGATATCCGTAGACAGTATATAGTACAATCAGCAAAGTACCAACTTTGCTGATTCTTCAATATCATTCTTTGGCTACATCGATTGCAGAGGAGACACGATCCATTAGCACCAGAGCCCCTAGATTTCCACAAGACATCCATCGAGTTCAACCCAATCTGCGACCTAGCCATCGTGTTTCCAGTACCGTTACAAGTTGAAGAATCAGCCTTACACACCTTGGGTCGAATTGGAGAGTACTGTATGCTCACCAGAGGGAAAGCGCGGAAAATGATACCAGAAAGAGAGGAGTTGGAACAAGGGCTGGTCCCAGAGGAAGAAATACCAACAAGTTCTTCGAGAAGTACCATTTCACATGACCTCACTTCTACCACCACTACCCCAGATCCGCTGAATGAATTATCACAGCAGTTGTCACAATTATTAGCCATTATGACGATGCAACAAAAGGAACAAAATGCATTAAGGGAAGAACTGGCTACGATGAAAGCTGACCGACAGAGCCAACAGCTACTCACCTCGAAAGGGGTAAGTTCGATCGAAGTCGAAGAAAACAAGCCGTGTTTGGAGCCAAAACTTACCAACAACGAACGAACAGGAAGAACCAGGTGTGCGGATCCACCTACCTTCAGTGGAGAACGAGGGGAATTGGACAACTTCCTTGCAGCATGCCACATGAACTTCGAATTCAAAGGGGCAGAGTACGCCACCGATCGCAGAAAGATCCTGTTCATGTACGGGTATCTTCGAGGCACCCCTCAAATGCTTCTGACCCCGGCCATAACCAATCCAAGTATATGGAATTCGACCGAATGGCTAGAGAGCTACGACAAATTCATGCAGCATTTACGAACTCAATTTGGAGACAGTAACATGGCAGGTACGGCTATGAGGAAATTGCAAGAGTTAAGACAGACTGATACGGCCGCCGAGTATTTTGCCAACTTTGAACTTTGGTCAACACACCTTGGAAAGGTACCAGATGCAATGAAAATCGCCTCAGCCATACAGGGCCTGAAGGAACAGCTACTGAAAGTGGTAGTGGTAAATAACACCGACCCTCGAACCAAATCGGACTGGATCTATTTCAAACAGCATGTGATAGGGACTGAGGAGAACCAACGGATGGCTGAAACGATGATTGCAGCGAATCGATGGGCTGCTAGACACAAAAATGAGACGACCTGGCTTCCCCCTCGATCGAATTTGATGCGATTGGATACTAGTCCGCCCAACCCGGTAGAACGCCACTCACAATCAACTGGTAGAGGACCCTTGCCCGGTGGAAAGCCAGGGATGATGAATTATGGTCTACCAAATGACCCTCCGGTCACTTGGACAGAGGATGGAGGACGCCTCAGCGAGAACGAAATGACTTGGAGGAGGGAGAACCGACGTTGTCTCAAATGTAGAAGTCCAGAACATTACGCCAACAACTGTCCAAATGGAGGAAATACGAGCAACAACATCAGGGGATCCCCAAACCCGCATAACTCACCAATTCCTAGTGGATCGAACTCGATCCCAACTGGATCCAAAGGGCCATTAGTTCGAGGAATGGCGGTGACCTTTGAAGAAGAGGGAAACGAATACCTGGCCTAAGTGATGCGACCACTTGCGGCCAGGATCTAACAGAATCGCACAAAATTCAACTACCAATAGATCTCAGTAATGACTCGGCTATAATATACATAAAAATACAGACAGAAGAAGATACCCTACGATTTGGAATGTTAATTGATACCGGAGCTACCGGAAGATACGTACAGCCGGCCTGTCCATTATACCATTTATTCCCAAAGAGACAGTATCAGGAACCACGGAAGATCAGGTTCCTTGATGGAACGACCGCGACGTTAGTGACCGAGTATGTAGAAGCTGAATTGGATTTAGGAGAAGGACTCAAGATTGCGACTCGATTGGATGTGATGGCATACGAAGGCCCCGAGGTACTGGTGGGATTGGACTTCTTGAAACAGTTTTGGGCAAGGATCGATTGTGGAAAGGGATTGATCGAGTTCGACGGAATCGGGCAGGATAACGGTTGGAAGTATCCAAGATTGGAGGAAGGATTGGTAAGAGGAACGGCGTTGGAAAAGGGAGAAGATGAAATGAGCGAAGAAGAGTTACGACAGGTCATACCGACACAATGGCACCAATACCTGGAGTTATTTAAAGTGGAACGGGCCAGAAAACTACCACCAAGAAGAGAATGTGATCACGAGATCGAATTGACCCCCGGAGCAGAGCTAAAACCAGGTCCAATCTACCACTGGATGAACATGGGGACGCATTCCTAAAGCAGTGGATCAATGACGGTTTGGCCAGCGGCCATTTACGAAGAAGTAAATCACCTTATGGATCCCCTGTATTCCTGGTTCCAAAAAAGGGAGTGATTCCCTATCGAGTGGTAACGGATTATCGGGCGCTTAACAAGGTAACCGTTAAGGATTCATACCCAATGCCACTCATCTCGACACTACTCGATCGACTTCAATTAGGAAGGATCTTCACTAAACTTGATTTGAAAGGGGCTTACCAGTTAGTCAGAATAAAGGAAGGAGATGAACATAAAGCTGCCTTACGAACAAGATACGGCAGTTTCGAGAGCACAGTCCTAAGGGATGGGTTGTGTAATGCACCAGCCACCTTTCAGAACTTTCTACAAGACATGTTTCACGATCTACTTGACGAAGGGGTAGTAGTTTATATCGACGACATCACGGTATACTCCGACACGATCGAAAACCATCAGATAATTGTCCAAAAGGTGTTAGATCGGCTACTTGAAAACGATTTGGTCGTCAGTCCGAGAAAATGCGAATGGAGTTCAAATGAAGTGAAGTTCCTGGGGTACGTAATCGGACACGAACGGATCGAAATGGATCAAGAAAAGGTGAAAGCCATTCTAGAATGGGGAGAACCCATGACAGTCCGGGATACTCAAGTGTTCTTGGGCTTTGCAAATTTCTATCGAAGGTTTATCAAGGGGTTTTCGCATATTGTGGGACCTCTCACACGATTGACTAGGAAGGATCAAGCTTGGAACTGGACACAAGAATGCCAAAAGGCTTTTGACGATCTAAAGAAAACATTCACCACGGCACCAGTACTTCGACATTTTGATAGAACCCGACCGACTTGGATCGAAACCGATGGCTCCGACTGCGCGATAGGTGTGATAGCGTCTCAAAGATTTCCTCACCCATCAATAAAGGGAACCACCAAACTTCACCCAGTTGTGTATTGGTCTCAAGCAATGACCCCCTGTGAGCTAAACTACACGGTAGGAGAGAAAGAATTACCAGCCATCGTGGACTGCTTGGTCGCCTGGAGGCCCTACTTGGCTAACAGTAGTGATGTTATAAAAGTCATTACAGATCACAAGAACCTAGAATACTTCCAAAGCAAACGACAACTAAATCGAAGGCAGATGAGATGGTTGGAAATATTGGGAGACTTCAACATAGAGATCACTTACCGACCAGGTAGCAAAAATGGGGGAGCAGATGCTCTGACTAGACGAGGAGATTATCATCCGGGAAGAGGGAGTAGCAAGGACCCAGACCTAAACAAAGGCAACTGGCTACAA